GGCAGGATGTCCAATTATTCTAAAGCCATGTGGCACCTTCTCATGGCCTACTGGCAAGAGTTCTTCTTACCCATTTTCCAGGCCAAGTCTCTCCTGCTTTCCAGGCCACATGGCCAAAAGGAGCATCCCAAAGCCACGTGGTCCTCTTCTACCAAAGCTGCAGGAGTCCCCACTCTGGCAAAACCTTGTAGCTCTTCCTCTAATGGCTGCCATTTCTGGGTTTAAATCCCCATGCCAATCCTCTTCTGTACCCCCATTTCTGACTCCTCCTACAATCAGTTACACCTTCCACCATTCCTGTATCATTCCAAGTTTACTGGGCTATCATTGTTAGTCTGGGAAGGGGTGGTCCCATGTCATGTAGCCAATTTTCTCCAAGGTCCCATGCAGGCACTGTAACTTAGGGAACCTGCCCCCCAGTCACATCTTGGGCGGGGGGGTCCCTCCATCTCCCTGGCTCAGAGCATGGCCACAGCTATTTAACATATCTAAGTGACCAGCCAAAGGCTATAGATATGTTAAAGGACCATGACATGGATTAGCTGCAAAGCTGTAGCTGTACAAAACAGGCCTGCATGTTCCTGCTCCATGTGTCCCTTCCTCCAACTCACACCTGTGGGGGGAGGGGTGAGGACATCTCAATATGTCTTTCTAATATTTACTAGACACCTTGAGTTATGGACTCCATTCCAATCTCTCCCCCAGCCCTGCCCCGCCTCTTGGCTGCACCCTGTAACAGTATCACATCTTTATCCATTCATCTATCAATGGACACTTAGGTTGCTCTCATATCTTGCCTATTTTAAATAATGCTACAATGAACATAGTAGTACATACATTTTTCGAATTAGTATTTTTGTTTTCTTTGGACAAATACTCAGAAGTAGAATTGCTGATCATATGGTAGTTCTGTTTTTAATTATTTGAGGAATATCCATACTGTTTCCTATATTGGCTACACTGATCTAAATTCCCACCAACAGTGCATGAGGTTTTCTTTTTCTCTACATCATTGCCAGCATTTATTTATTTATTTTTTTGATAATAGCTAATCAGACAGGTGTGAGACAATAACTTATTGTAATTTGATTTGCATTTATTTGTTTTTTTAATAATAGCTAATCAGACAGGTGTGATGAGATAACTTATTGTAATTTGATTTGCATTTCGCTAATGTTTAGGGATATTGAGAATCCTTTGATGTGTCTCTCAGCTACCTGTATGTCCTCTTTGGGAAAATGTCTGTTCAGATAATCTGTTTTTAAATTAGAGCTTTTTTATGTTGCATTGTATGAGTTCATTGTATATTTTGGATATTAAACCCTTGTTTGTGTGTCATTTATAAATGTCTTCTTCTATTCAGTGGGTTGCCTTTTAATTTTGTTGATGGTTTCCTTTTCTGCACATAATCTTTAGTTTAATATAATCCTATTTGTTTATTTTTTATTTTGTTGCCCTTGCTTGGGGAGACATATAAAAAAATATTGCCAAGACTGCTGTCAAAGAGTTTACTACTTATATTTGCTTTTAGGATTTTGAAGTTGTCTGGTCTTACATTTAAATTTTTAATTTATTTTGAGGTTATTTTTTATATATAGTGTAAGAAAGTCCAATTTGTTATTTTAGTGTGTATTTGGTGAATATTTAGCTATTCAGTTTTCTTCACACCATTTATTGAAGAGACTCTCTTTTCCCCATTGTATGTTCTTTGCTCTTTTGGCCTATGCTGACCATGTGAGAGTGGGTTTATTTATGGGCAATTAATTCTGTTCCATTGATTTATGTGTCTACTTTTGTGCCAGTATGATACTATTTTTGTTACTATAGCTTTGTAGTATAGTTTGAAATCAGTATGTGTGACACCTCCAGCTTTGTTCTTTTTCAAGATTGATTTAGCTATTTGAGAACTTTTGTGTTTCATATAAGTTTTAGGATTATTTGTTCTAGGTCTGTGAAAAATGCCATTGTCATTTTGATAAGGATTGCATTGACTCTGTGGATTGCTTTGGGTAGTATGGACATTTGACAATTCTGATCTTTCAGTGAGCATGGTATATATTTCCATTTATTTGTGTTGTCTTCAGTTTCTTCCTTCTGTGTCTTATAGCTTTCAGTGTACAGGTCTTTTACTTCCTTGGTTAAATTTATTCCTATGTATTTTATTATTTTTGATGCAATTATAAATGGGATTTTTCTTGATTGCTCTTCCTAATATTTGTTATTAGTGAATAAAACCACAACTCATTTCTTATATTAATTCTGTATTCTTAAACTTTAGTGAATGTCCTCATTCAGTAAAACAGTATGGAAGTTCCTCAAATAGTCCCTCAGACTGACATGTTCATTTTTTAATTCCAATAGTTTTTATGGTGGCATTTTTAGGGTTTTCTATATAAAATCTCATGTCATCTGAAGATACTGAGAGAGTAATGTTTGTAGTAGTCTTTTATAATTCTTTGTAGTTCTGTGGTGTCAGTTGAAAGTTTCCTATTTAATTCCCATCATATCTACTTGAGCTCTCTCTCATTTTTCTTAATGATTCTGGCTAAAGGTTTATCAATTTTATCTTTTCAAAATAAAAAACAACCAGCTCTAGTTTCACTGATCTTTTCTGTTGTTTTTCAAAGTCTCTATTACATTTATTTTTGCTCTGATCTTTATTATATCTTTCTTTCAAATAGCTTTTGGCTTTGTTTTTTCTTTATTTTTCAGTTCCTTCATGTGTAAAGTTAGATTTGTTATTTGAGATTTTTTATATTTCTTGAGGTCAGCCTGTATTGCTACAAGCTTCAATCTTAGAACTACTTTTATAGTGTTCCATATATATTTGGAATGTTGTGTTTCCATTTTCATGTATCTCAAGATATTTTTTCTTTGATTTCTTTATTAACCCATTAATTGTTAAGTGGCATGTTATGTAGTCTCCATGTGTTTGTGCTTTTCCAGTTTCCTACTTTTAGTTGGTTTCTAGTTTCATTCCATTGTGGTCTGAGAAGGCACTTGATATTATTTTCTTCTTAAATTCATTGAGAATTGTCTTATGGCCTAATGTGATCAATCCTGGAGAATGTACAACATGCTTCCTGGACTTGGATATCTATTTTTTTTTGTCAGGTTAGGGAAGTTTTTCTCCATTCTTCTTCTTCCAGGACTCTATCATACAAATGTTAGTATGCAAGATGTTGTCCCAGAGGTCCCTTAAATTCTCCTCCTTTAAAAAATTCTTTATTTATGTATTTATTTATGTATTTATTTATTTATTTTTCCAGTTGGGCAATTTCCACTACTTTGTCTTCCATGTCATCAATTTCTTCTTTTGCTTCATCTAATCTGTTGTTGACATTCTCTAGTATATTTTTCTCTTTAATTTGTTGTATTCATCAGTTCCAATTTTTAAAAATATTTTTTATCTCTTTGTTGAAGTTCTCATTGTGTTCATTCATTCTTCTCCTGAGTTTGGTGAGCACCCTTATTACCATTACTTTGAACTCTTTATCTGTTTGATTGCTTTTCTCCATTTCATTTAGTTCTTTTCTTGGGAGTTTGTCTTGTTATCTAACTTGGAAGGTATTTTTCTGTCTCTTCATTTTGCATAAGACTCTCTTTGTTGCTGTGTATTAGGTATTAGAAGAGTGGTCTTATGTAGAAAGTGTCCTGTGGGGCCTAATAGTACAGTTGCCCTGGTCACCAGGGCCAGGTTTTCCAGGGACATCACCCATGTGGGCTCTGTGTATGCTTTTTTTGTAGGTGGGCTGCAACTGTTGAGGCACTCTGTTGTGTGGGGCTGGCCTCCAGCCCATTTGTCTTCAAGGCCTTGTCTGGACTGCTATAGGGATTGGTCTGGCATCCTACATGTCTGGCAGTAAAACCTGGCTGCTACTGCTACTGGTGTGCTCGTGTATAGGGCAGGCCTCCAGTGTGGATGTGTCAACTGTTGTAGGTACATTGGTGTGCAGGGTATGGCCGGCCCTTCAACCCAACTTTACAGATGCTTCTGGCCACCTACCAGGTGCTAGGGACAGGGCACTATTTTAGAGGTCTTCCAGGGCCATCCACAAGGTTTTGGTGGGCAGGGACCCACTTTTGAGGGCCACTGAGATGCCCCTGGATTCTGGAGCTGAGAGCAGAGTGTTCCTTTGGAAAGAGTTTGGGCTGGGTGGGTCTTCAGGGGAAAGCTGGGTGGATGGAATGGTTAGAACCTTAATGGAGAGTATCAGATATGGGTGCCTGCCAGCTCAGGCAGGAGAGATAAAAGGAGAGCAAACAAAGCACTCGAGGAAAGAAAGGCACTTGCTATTATTGCCTCCATTACAGAGAGAGCCCCCACAAAATCCCTTTGGCAGACAACCTAAGATGAGTCAATATGTCTCTTTTACATGTGACCCAGCTGCCTCTTACACTGCTGTCACTGTGCTGACTTAGAGTGAGTGAGTTTGTGCCCACACGCTGTAAAGGAAGATGCTTGCTTTCCTATAGCCCCTTAGTTTCTGGGATGTAATATGCTTGCTGATTCTCACAACCAGACATTATGGGGCTCCTTTTTCTGGAACAGGCCCCACAGGCTGGGCACCCCAAGGTGAGCCAGGTGTCTTGCTCTTCAGAGGTTCCTCCCGGGGTTGTGATATTCCTTCCATTATGAAATGCCTCTCTGCTGCCTCCTTATCCATCTCAATGTGGCTTTTCTTCACATTCTTAGTTGTAGAGGAGCTGTTTTAGAAGTCTGCATGTTGTTCTCAGAGATAGTTGCTTTATATTTAGTTGTAGTTTTGGTGTGTTGGTGGAGGAGGTGAGCCAGGAATTTTCCTGTTCTGCCATCTTCATCCCATCTCCTTCCTCTGGCACCTTTATATATATTCAAAATTACATTAAAATAAAAGTTGCAAAGATTCTTAGGCAGCACAGGAAGCTGGAAAATGTAGTCATGGTATCATTCATGTTCTTGGTGGTATCATTACCTCCTAACAGCACTGGGTATGTTTTTCTCTCCCATTACCTACCAGGTTAGCACCAAATCAAGCAGGGGACCTTTGAGGTGGTTGCTACACACAGGTGCTATAACAAAACCCACATAGAAGAGCAGTCACAAACAGTCAAGTGTTCTTGCTTCCCAGGATAGGTTGCTGGTACATCTTGGGCTCAGCCTTCTTGTGTTGAAGGTAAGAACTTTCTGGTCAGCTTCTCTAATGTTGCAAAAGGGCCTACAACCACCAAGAATCTCTTAAATTTACTATCTTTGCAATACAAAACAAAAACAAAAACAAAAACCTAGATTTATTCTAGGTCAGTGCCATCCCAAAAGTAAACATAAATATAACTCCATGATTTTATACTGGGTAAGGTAAGTTTATGATGTCTCTTAAGATGTACCAATAGAGAGTTCCATTACTGACAGAAGTTATGCTTTGATTCCTTCTGGTGCAACTGTCTCTCTAGATCTTACCCATCAAAGCATTTGCTTCCTTAGACACCCTCTTCTTCCTACTCTCAACCTCTGGAGGACTCAGCCTGGTTTTTCCTCACCTCATGTTTAATGTGATAGACAAAATAAATATTCTCTGATTTTCTAGTTTATTATTATTTTAACAAATGTTTATAAAACATCTTTGGCATGACTTCTTAGAGAATAGTTTGGGATCATGTATTATTCATATATTGTCTCCAAATCTTCTAGTGGAGTGCTATGCCAATGGTTAAAAAAATGAGTGAATATTGATGGTTGTAGGTGGAGTCATGGGATTGATTCTTTTTTGATGTCCCTGTCTTTTTGCATCAGATACCTTGTTGGAAACAAGTATTAGTCCCCAGGAGAACAGATATATGAGCATAAGCCTTGTAGCAGTTTCTCTACAGAGGAATAAAACCTCCCTGAAAATGAATTCTTCCCATCCTATCACACACACACATTCTTAATTGCAGGCCTGATTGCACAATTGAAAATAATCTTTCCTATCAAACATATTTTTATGGGTAGTTAGATCACCAGTGGTGTTGTATCAGTGTAATCTTAGTTACTCTAAGGCTGGAGAGTGAATATGGAAAACTTCCCATATACATTTCATTACCAGAAATTCTGGGGGTCAAATGTGTTGCTGAATTCAGATTTTGTCAGATTTTATAAAGGTAACAGTGAATATACCATCTTTTACTTAACAAGTCCTCTGTATTTTCCAGTTGTACTCCATAATCACAGATATTAATATTTATACCATAAGATACGTGAATATTCATGCAGAATGGGATGAGGCAGGATGAAGAACCTCATGTTAATTCAAGTCAGGTTTTGCTTCCATCTTATAGTAATCCCTTTCATTCTCAAAACTTTTTGGATTTGGGGATTATAGGTAAAGGATTGTGTACCTGTAAGAAAAGATAAAGATCTTTTGCATTAAAAATGCATTGAAAAGAAATTTGCTAAGTTCCTATACCCACAACTAGGACAGTTTACTATATATGTTCTCCATCAAATGAATCCAGATCATACCCATTCTGTCTCCTTGTTCTCTCTCAGATCAGTCCACTTTTCACTACTCCATTGTTACCTTCACAGTCTTGGGGTCAGCATTATATCTTGCCAAGTTGACTACTACTGGTATTCCCTTTTCTGTCCTGAAGCAAGAAAGACACTTCTATAAAAACAGAACTGATCATGTCACTGTCATTCTTGAAACCACAGTTTGGTGACTTCCAACTGCAAAGCCAAAGGGGGGGAGTAGAATTGAGGGTGGGAGATAGGATGTGGAAGTGGGTAGGATGAGGGAAAGTGGTGGTGGGAAAATGGAGACAACTGTATTCAAACATTAATAAAAAATGATTTAAAAACTAAAAAAAAAAGAGAGAGAGCTAGCTTATTCCTTCCACTAAGAGAGGACACAGTGAGAAGTATGCAACTTGGCAGATGGCCAATAGAACAATGTTGTGTCAGCGAAACAACAATGCTGGTACCCTGATTTTAGATTTCCAGCTTCCACACTGTAAGAAATAAATTTTTGGGACTTCTGGCCAAGATGGAGGCATAGATAGATGCACTGTGACTCCTTGCACAACCAAAAAAAGGACAACAACAAATTAAAAAACAAAAAACAACCAGAACTGACAGAAAATCAAACTGTATGGAAGTCTGACAAACAAGGAGTTAAAGAAGAAACATTTGTCTAGACTGGTAAGAGGGCCAGAGAGGGCAGCTGGGTGGAGAGGACTCAGCAAGGCAGTGGCTGGTGGACTGGGAGAGGTGGAAGCTTGTGGACTGGGTGGTCCCACATTCATGTGCAGATAAACTGGGAGGAATAACTAAGGAGCGAGATAGACTGTGTAACCCAGGGTTCCAGTATAGGGAAGTAAAGTCTCAAAGCCTCTGACTGAAAACTCCTATGGGGGTTGAGGTGGCAGCAGGAAAAACTCCCAGCCTCACAGGAGAGTTCATTGGAGAAATCCACAGGGTCCTAGAATGTACACAAACCCACCCACATAGGAATCAGCACCAGAAGGGCCCAATTTGAGTGTAGGTAGTGGAGGAAGTGACTGAAAACCAGAAGAAAGTAGAGCAAGCACTCTTCTCTCTCAGACCTCTCCCCCACATACAGCATCACAATACAGCCATGGGGGTTGCCCTGCCCTGGTGAACACATAAGGCTCCACTCCTTACTATGTGTAACAGGCATACTGAGACCAAAAAAACAGAAAAAAGGCCCAAATGAAAGAACAGTTCAAGGCTCCAGAAAAAATACAACTAAACAACGAAGAGATAGCCAAACTATCAGATGCACAGTTCAAAACATTAGTTATCAAGATGCTCCAGGAACTCAATGGATACTTCAACAGCATAAAAATGACCCAGGCAGAAATGAATGTTGCATTATGTGAAATAAAGAAAAATCTACAGGAAACCAACAGTGACAGGAAGGAAACCAGGACTCAAATCAACAGTTTGAAGCAGAAGGAAGAAAGAAATATTGAACCAGAACAGAATGAAGAAACAAGAATTCAAAAAAATGAGGAGAGGCTTAGGAGCCTCCAGGACATCTTTTAATGTTCCAACATCGAAATTATAAGGGTATCAGAAGGAGAAGAGGAAGAGCAAGAAATTGAAAAGTTATTTGAAAAAATAATGAAGGAGAACTTCCCCAATCTGGTAAAGGAAATAGACTTTCAGGAAGTCCAGGGAGCTCAGAGAGTCCCAAAGAAGCTGGACCCAAGGAGGAAAATACCAAGGCACATCATAATTACATTAGCCAAGTTTAAAGATAAGGAGAGAATCTTAAAAACAGAAAAAGAAAAGGAGACAGTTAACTACAAAGTAGTTCCCATTAGACTATCAGCTGATTTCTCTATCAGCTGCAAGAAACCTTGCAGGCAGGAAGGGGCTGGAAAGAAGTATTTGAAGTGATGAAAGGCAAGGACCTACATCCAAGATTACTCTATCCAGGAAAGCTATCATTTATAATAGCAGGGCAGATAAAGTGCTTCCCAGATAAGGTCAAGTTAAAGGAGTTCACCATCACTCCATCACCCATCTCTTATTATATGAAATGTTAAAGGGACTTATCTAAGGAAAAGAAGATGATAAAAAATATGATTAGCAAAATGGCAACAAACTCACAACTATCAACAACCAAACCTAAAAACTAAGACAACACCAAAAACAAACTAAATAAATCAGCAGAACAGGAACAGAGTCATGGAAATGGAGATCACAGGGAGGGTTATCAGTGGGGGAGAGGAAGAGGGAGAAAGTTACAGAGAATAAGTAGCATAAATGGTAGGTAGAAAATAGACAGGGGGAAATTAAGGATAGTATGACTAGAAAATGTGGAAGCCCAAGAACTTATATGTGTGACCATGGACATGAACTAAAGGGGGGGAAGGTGGGCAGGAGGGGTAGCACAGGGTGGAGGGGAATAAAGGGGGGAAAATAGGACAACTGTAATAGCATAATCAATAAAATATATTAAAAAATGGGTAATAAAAAAACTGAAAATAAAGTATTAAAAATGAAACATATAAAATGAAATAAAATAATAAAATAAAATAAAATAAAATAAAATAATCTGAAGTCTTTACCATGGTTTACAAAGACCTGCATAATGGTTCTGTTTCCCTTCTGTTTCACCTCCTCTATCCCTCCCCAACTTGAGCCCTTGCATTCCCTTTCATCTCAGCACTCACCCATCAACAGCCTTTGCCTGAGTCATTGCCCTCTTCCCCACAACACACATTTTGTCTACTTCATTCTCACTCTCCTTTATCCCTCTGCTTCTAGTTGATGACATGTATCCCAGTTTGTTGTAAAACTTGTTGAATGTGTGTCTTCCTCTGAGTCTGTGTCTGCAGTTGCTGTAGGGCAGGAACTGACCCTCTGTTTCTACTTCTCCTCCTTGACTGGTTCAGGGATGAGTTTTAACCTAGCAGAGAATTGATTCATCTTTTTCAATAACAGATTGTTTTCTAAAGGTAATAACTGTATTTTCTTGCCTCTGTAGATTTTTACACTGCTATAGAAACTTATAAATCATGACATAAGCTGTATTTGTATTGTTTAGCCTAGAATCTTTGGATATCAAACCTTACATACCTAAATCATATTTTACAATATTCAAAGTACTTTTATTGGTACCTGAATAGTGTGAATAGGGTAGCATCTTTCTCTTAGCAAAGAAATATTAATACCTTATCCTAAACTAGCTTGTTTTATATTTGGGCAAAATCCCCTTTGGCCACTATCCTAAGGATAACTACATTTACCTGTTTGGTCAATGTAGTTTTCTATATATTTGTGTATTTAAGATAGTTTGTAGAAAATGTGGAAGACTTTGATATGACTGTGTGTTGTATACAAATGGTATCACATTGGATACTTCTTAACCCAGCCTGCTATATTCCTATTAATATTACATTGTGATCTTGTGCATTAGTACACATTGCTCTAACTTGCTTTCTTAATTGCTCCATAGTGTTCTTTTGAATAAATAGGTCATATGCATTTAGACTTTTTCTCCTGAAGGGACATTTTGGTTGTGTCTATGGCCAAATAGGCCCACAGGCTAACTAAATGATTTCCATAGTCATACAATTAGTATGTGATGGAGACCAATTATTTAGTGTCTGAGCAAGTCTATACAGTAGAACTTTCTGTGATTATGCAAATGTTATTTCTATGTAT